CCAACGATTGGACTCTTTTGTTTAATACATCCCAGCTTCATTATGTTGCTTGTTTTGGGTCAATTGCAAATCCTCATATGTGGGATAAGAGGAGCAAAGCAGGGTGGGCGGGGCCACATATGCAATTGCTGCACAATACGCCTCAGCGCTACACTCTCTTTTCACAGTCTGATTAACTTCTGCACTCTGTTTTCTTTTCCTCATCCTCAACAGTAAACTTATTGCTTCTTCCTGTACAAGTAGAAAGAAAAGCTTTGCAGAGAGTGGTGAAGGCTGCACAGAAGTCTGTTGGAGTCAGTCTCCCCACCATCACAGACATTTACACCTCTAGATGCAGGAAGAGGGCCACCTGCATCATGAAGGACCACACTCACCCAGCACACACACTTTTTGCCCCGCTCTCCTCAGGCAGAAGGTTAAGGAGCATTCAATGTAGAACCACTAGACTGAGGAACAGCTGAATCTCTAACCAGAATAATCACTGTGAAGAATCACATCATGTTGCTGCTGATCTGTTTCATGTTGCTGCTGATCTGTTTCCTGTTGCTGCTGATCTGTTTCATGCTGCTGTGTTCATTCATACTCATCTGCTCACACAGACTCATGTTCGTGCTGCTGTTCGACATAATGCTTTTATGCTATTAGCTTAGTGTATTATTTAATTGATGTTTTTCCTAGTTCATATCTTAGATCTTATTACTGTTTTTCTTTTACATTTTATTGTTGGATGTAACTGGGACCCTGCGTACATAATCTCGTTCCACCACATGTACCACATGAGATGTGAATGACAAATAAATCTCTCTGAATTTCTGAAGTAGATTAACACAATTTTATATTGTGCATTCTTATTTAGCTGTATTTTTTTCTGTATGATTCGTTAAACTGTTTTACAGCCTGAGCCGGCCCACCCATCAAGCACATAATTTTGCCCAAATTTCAGGTCAGGTCGAGTCGGGCGCAAGCCAGAAATCCTTACCTAAAAGCTCTAATCCTGTTTAACCAAAGAATGCTTCAAGATAGAAATATATATATATATATATACTGTTTTTTTTTTTTTTTTTTGTTTTGTTTTTTATCCGCAGCACGGTGGCGCAACTGGTAGAGCTGCTGCCTCTCAGCGAGCAGGTCCCCGGTTCAAATCCCGGTCCGGGGGCCTTTCTGGGTGGAGTTTGCAGGTTCTCTCCGTGCATGCGTGGGTTTTCTCCGGGTACTCCGGTTTCCTCCCACAGACCAAAAAACATGCATGTTAGGCTAATTGGTAACTCTAAATTGTCCCTAGGTGTGAGTGAGAGAGTGAATGGTTGTTTGTCTCGTTTGTCTCTATGTGGCCCTGTGATGGACTTGCGACCCGTCCAGGGTGTACCCCGCCCCTCGCACAGTGATTGCTGGACATGGGCACCGGCGACCCCTGTGACCCAAAAATGGAATAAACGGGTAAAGAAAATGGATGGATGGATGGATGGATGTTTTTTATCCAGTGAAGCAGTGATGGACAGACTTTAATCAAACTGGCCATAAAATGAAACCACAATAATAAAAAAAATTAAAAATATCAACAAAACTTCTCTAGTCTGATCAGCTACTGCACAGAATCTGAGCAATCTTGGACCATTTATACAACATTATTTTTCCCCTCAACCAACTACAAAACGCAACTTTCCATCAAATATTTTTATGTTGCCGGCCTCCAAGAATCCCTTCTTGTCGATTTCTGAATGTAAAATATGAAAATATTAAAATGTTTGCTAGAGAAGTGTGCTCATTAAAGGCCCTTTGTCTCACAGGTAACTAACATATTGTCATGTTCTGAAAAACGTAATAATAACAAGTTTGACTGGAGCAAACTGCACAGCAGTGTTTTACATAATCTATTATATTACATGTAATCAAAAGTACTTTCACAGATGAAAACAAAAGGGCGTGTAAAAGCATCTTTACTGGGATACGTGTGGAGGTTTTGCACACCACTTAAGCATCTCTAGGACAGCTTTACAATCTGATTTGCCACAGTAAATTGTTTACAGACTGGGAATCGGCAGCAAAAGCAAACACGCGACACCCTACACTGATTGTAGCCCGTGTTTATCAGTGCATCTGCTTTGGAAGGCTCGGTGGAATCATTAGAAGCCAACATTGCTGCTGCTCCTCTGGTTTAAAAGCTATTCTCTCAGTGAGCCACCACAAATGTCTCTTCTTTAATTTGCTTGAAAACCAATGCCACGTTTATTCAACACTGTCCTGCTGAACCACTGATAGGGTTTCTTTCAGCACAATGGCAATACTTTATTTTTAAAAACCCCTTGGAGACAATTGGCGGTGGAAATTGCTCGCAGGTGCGTACTATAAAATAGTAACAAGGACAGACGGACACAAAGCGCTGTTTGGGTGCTGTGTTCATGAAAGGCCAAGCCGCTGATTGAGCTGTCACATTCACAGATGCAGTAATAAAACTAAGCAGGGCAATTACTGTAGATGGAAGGATGGGGGGGGCACCCACAATATGTCCTCCCCTAAAATGCCCTGATGGGAAACGATGAGACTAAGCAAATGTATCTGCCTGTAATAAGTCTGGGGGTGAAAAAAAGCACTAATGGGTCCACTGTTCTGATGAGCAGAGCTGCATCTCGGTGGATGGTAATAAATCTGTGCAACTTCCTCTTTTTTTCCTTCCTGTTTCAGGCTTTCTCATCATAGTGCCCTTGTTGGAATATTAAAGCACAGCACTACTATTAAAAAGCACTTACCAACATTTTTTTTTTTTTTTTTTTAGCAGAGGGTAGATCAAAAACAGGATTTGAAAAAAAAAAAAAAAAAAAAATCTACTACCTGCATGTGTAGTGTGAAGGGTAACCTTGTAATTTCACTTGTTTAAATAACCACATTGCCATCTAGTGGACAAACCGGATAACTTGAGAATTTAGTTGTAAAGTTTGTACATTTTTATTCTAACCTGTTTCACAGCACATTACACTTAATGTAAACTCCCAGAAAATATTGCTAAAATTAGAAACATCTACAAACGATGCAGAAAACATGGTTGATGCATTTGTCCCGTCTAGACTGGACTATTGTAATGGTTTGTTATCTGGGTGTCCAAATACTTCTTTAAAAAGTCTTCAGTTGAGCCAAAGTGCTGCTGCCAGAGTCTTAACTGGAGTTAGTGGGCGAGATCATATCTCTCCAGTTTTTGCTTCTCTCCATTGGCTCCCTGTCAAATCCAGAATAGAATTCAAAATCTTACTTCTAACGCCGGGTTGCTGTTGATGCGTCGTATTGTTTTACATCATTAGTGTTTAGTGTATATCTTAGATCCTCATATTCTGTTTCTTTTTATACTTTATATTTTTGCTATTGGGGGAGCATGGTGGCGCAACTGGTAGAGCTGCTGCCTCTCAGCGAGCAGGTCCTTGGTTCAAACCCTGGTCCAGGGGCCTTTCTGGGTGGAGTTTGCATGTTCTCTCCGTGCATGCGTGGGTTTTCTCCGGTTTCCTCCCACAGACCAAAAACATGCATGTTAGGCTGATTGGTAACTCTAAATTGTCCCCAGGTGTGAGTGAGAGAGTGAATGGTTGTTTGTCTCGTTTGTCTCTATGCGGCCCTGTGATGGACTTGCGACCCGTCCAGGGTGTACCCCGCCCTTCGCACAGTGATTGCTGGACATGGGCACCAGCGACCCCCGTGACCCAAAATGGAATAAACGGGTAAAGATAATGGATGGATGGATGGATGGATGGATGGATTTTTGCTATTGTTGTAACTGGGACCCAAAGTACATAATTTCATTCCACCTCATTTACATGTGATGCAAATGACAATAAGCTTGAACTTAACCTAAAAAGCCCTCAACAACCTAGCTCCATCTTATATTACAGATCTTATTGTTCCATATTTTCCCAACAGAGCACTTCACTCTCAGACTGCAGGCTTACTTGTGGTTCCTAGAGTTTCCAAACACAGAATGGGAGGAAGATCTTTCAGTTCTCAGGCTCCTCTCTTGTGGAACCAACTTCCAGTTTCTGTCCATGAGGCTGACACATTGTGCAGTTTAAAGACTTTCCTTTTTGATGAATCCTATAGTTAGGGTTGGCTTGTTATACTGCTATAGGCTTAGACTACTAGAGGACAAATTGACCCAATTTCCTTAGATGATTAGCTAAAATTGAATAGTTTTCATTTGATACCATTTCTATCTTAACAAGTGATTCTTGACCTGCCATTGTGTATCTGTTCCTACCAAACCCAGCCGGTCGAAGCAGATGGCCACTTGTCTTGAGCCTGGTTCTGCTAAAGGTTTCTTCGTCATGAGGGAGTTTTTCCTTTCCACTGTTGCCTTCATGCTTGCTCAAGATGAGAGTTCTGCAATGGAGTTAAACTCAAAGCAGTCTGCTCCTCAAATAAATAATGTTAAATTATTGTTTTTATATATGAATATTTCTGTTCAGTGCCCTGAGATGACTTCTGTTGTGACTTGGGAGTTAGATAAATAAACTGAATGGAACAAAGATTGCAAAGAGATATTTTAAAATTGTAGGTGCTGAAGATTCAGAAGTCTATTGTTTCTTTAACTGCATATCCCTGGACTTAAAATAGACCAATGACATCAAAAAATAAAAATTGGGATTTATTAATTAAAAACCTTTTCTTCTACATTTTGACAAACCTTTGTGTTTCAAATTGAACTTTCAATCAAATTGAATCAATAATGATGGTATAAAACCTTTTAAATTAGAAACTTATCAATAACTTCTAAGCTTTCTTGTATTTCAGGGCTAAAAATAAAAAGAAAGCTACAACGATCCTGACTGTTTTAGGGTTATGTTTTAATACTGGAGACAATCACATCACTGATTTTCCTCAGTTACAAAGCAAATGAAAGGTACTTCTGTAAAAAAAAAAAGAAAAAAAAGCAATGTTTTAGACATTAACTTTATTATTAGTTGTGAAAACTAAAAATAAAAAAAGCTGTGGAGCTCAGCTGCAACAGTTTTGTTTGGATATTTTACAGTATAGAAGGCAGCACATCGGACAGATTGTTTTCCTTGTGCTCTTCTTTACATCGGGCTTTGTCCATTGGGGTTTGGTCCTAGAGACCTGGGCCTCCAGCAAATATGAGCTCGAGGGCAGCCTGGATGTCACCATCTGTGGCCTGCAGCGCCCTCAGCATCAGCTCTTCATCCTGTATCCCCATGTCTCTGAGCTGCTGCAGCTGAGACTGCCAACGGCTCTGGCAAACACAGAAAGTCAGAATCAGAAAAGATAATCCTTTGTGCAAACCCCACCTGGTTACCGTTATGCATACGACTACCCCCGCCAGGCACTGAACACACACTGGGGGCTTCCGATAGTTTGCTCACCTGGAGACCTGACATGTTGGAGGCCTGCAGAGCTTGCTGTAGAGCCTGGCTGAAGAGATCATTACTGACTGGTGTGCCAGCTGGCATGGGGGCTGAACCACTGGAGGGGTCCACCTTCAAAGAAAAAAAAGTAGCAATTAGCAAAACCATGCAGCAAGGAGTCGCACTTTTTTATCCAGACAAGCAGAATTATCTCAATAAAATCTCCTCCAGCTGAGTTCTCAGTTTATATGTGCTGGCTCACCTGATTTGCTGTCGTTGGTGTAACAGCGCTACTGTCGGGCGTGCTAGCGAGGGCCAGCGCAGTTGCTAGCTCACTTTGTGTTATAGGTCGAGGGCCTGTTGCTCCGCTGTGGCCCAGAGACATGGGACGAATCCCTGCTGAGAGCCCACCTCGGTTAGAAGGACCTGCTGGGCTCCCCTGGTAAAGACGATCAAGCACACAAGACAGTCAGGATGTAGGCACCAGGAGGTCTTCAGTGAGCGGGGTTTGCTGCTGGTTGTGAACTTACAGACTGGAACTCTTCCTCGTCGTCTGACATACCTTCAAACATGAAGCCTCCTGACAAAAAGCAGTTCAAAGAACAGTTTGGACAATAACCTTCACCGTATGTTTTGCGCTTCTGTGAACTCAGCCTGTGTTCGGTGATCTCACCTGGCATGTCGCTGTAGGAGCTGGCAGAAACATTGCGAGAAGAGCTGGCGCTGGACTGAGCAGGCATACTGCCTGCCACCGAGTGCAGGACCAAGATGATGGCGTTGACCAGGGCCGGGTGTGAACCGATCAATCTTTTAGACAGACAAGAAGAGGAAAGATCATTTTTCTGAGTGTCCCTGCACTATATTTCTACATTATTTGTCACGGGAGCTGAAAATACACAATACACTCACATGTCAAGCATGTTGGGGTCTGTGAACTGCACAAATAGGTCTTTATCTTGAAGAACTCCTATGGGTTTGTTTTTAGACGGAAATATTAAAATTAACGCATTTTACATTGCAGAGTTAGTTATATAGGGATTTCAGCAGTCTTACCTAAAGCTATGGGGTCCGATCTGAGCCCGGGTGTGGCTACAATGATCTGATCCAGAGACTCTTTGTTTGTCAGCATTTTATAAACCTACAAGTTGGAAACAAAAGATAACAGCTGATAATTAATTTACTACATTAAAAAAAAAAAAAAAAAGATCCTAATCACTCAAGCCAACACAATCTATCAAGCTTTATTAAGTGAACTTGCTCCTGCTAATGGTGATCTTTGACCAGCCTTTAGCTGTCGGGGGTCCTGTTCACACACAGCTCTGAAAAGCATCAAGGGTGATATAATCAGAAGTAAACATCTGTGAACATGTGTGTGACAGGAGGAGAGAAGCCCAGTTGTTCGAGCCAAATGGTCTCCAAGCCAAGAAAAGTCATCCAAATGTTCGAAAGCAGAAGAACCTCACTCACAGCCATGGACATTTTACTGGAAGTGTTTCACTCAGTCAGTTCTGAGACGTTTGATGTTTCGAAAAGGTGAAACAAAAATAACTTTAAAAAAAATCCATCCATCCATCTTTACCCGCTTTTTCCATTTCAGTTTGTATTTATTTATTTAATTTTATTTAACCTTTATTTATACAGGTAGTCTCGTTGAGGCACAAGGACTCATTTTCAAGAGAGACCTGTTTGGGAGCAGATGGTAAGGGTCTTGCTCAAGGGCCCAGAGTGGGGCAGGTGTGGGCGCTTCACCTTTACCACCAACGTTTAGATGTTGTCAGTCAAATGTTTCAGAACACCACCTAGACAAGGTGCACCTGCACGGTGTTCACAAATTCAAGCCCAAAAACAATTGATAATTGAACTGTAAAGGTAGATTATCTAAAAATAACATGTTCAGTAAAATATTTTTCGCATAACAATAAGCGCAACTTAAGCTTTTTAACAAAAGCTAAAAAAAAAAAAAACCTCTCACAACAACAACAACAACAACGAGATCCGTGTTTTACTGCATGTTTGGAACAAAGTTTAGAAGAAATGCCAAATTGAGGGTTTTAATGTTAATTTTTTGTTACAAATAAATCTAATCTTATTGTAAAACTGTCTTCTGGCATCAGTAATGTTCTGCAGGGATCAAGAAATTCCACAGGTTCCAACTCCTCCCTGATTATTCCCAGTATTTCCACTTCAAAACAGAGATGGAAGGACTGGGCAGGGCTGTATTGCACAAAAACACATTGATTTACTACTGAGGAGTTTTGGACATAAAAATCAGCCAAAACTGAACATCAATAACATTTGATGATGCAATCTCCTAATTCTGGTGCTGTAAACAAACCCAGTGAGATGCACTCAGACTTTACTCTCTAATATCACTGTTGCTAAATTTGCAACTTTGTTGCTGGATTTCAATATGTCGACTTTTTGAACAAACTGTCAGTGTTACCTGATGAAGAAAGGAACATTCATCCCATAAATATGCTGACGTTCTTCACTTCTCTTTGTTTTAATCTTTATGTGGTTTCAAAATCTGTGCACGCTGGTTAAAATGTAGTTAATTGGTCAAACTTAGATTAGCATCTGTGACTACCGGTAGTTAAAATCAATGAGAACAGCTTTGTGGTAAATTCAAATACAGCAGAACACTTTATGGGAGCCTCTTTCTTTGAAAATACCAAAACTTACAATATATTAGTCATTTAATTTAGTTTAAAACAACTAAGGTAAGAGTTCTGGTTTGGTTGAGAAATTTTCTGCCGTTCCTCTTTAAGATAATAACGTTCCAACATCATCCGTTATTTGTCCAATTATTAACATACACAATAAATTATTTCTAGCATGTTATGGTCCATTTTTTGTACATTTCAGTTTCATTTGACAGTTTTTTGGTCAGTTGTTTACATTTTGTTTAATCTATTCCTAGGCCTGTCACGATAAAAAAATTTTGTTGGGCGATTAATTGTCTCAAAAATTATTACGATAATATTGTTTGAAATTTGACAATAATTAGTATTTATTGTCAAATGTAAGAAGAAATGTTTGCTATTTGTTTTGCGCGTAGTACATTTTTTCAACCACCGGATGGCAATATAAGACTGTTTGAACCGAAGGGTGGATAGTGAGGGAGCGAGCAGCGTGTCTCTAAGAAAAATGGGAGTGAGGCCCCTTGACGTGACATGGGCTGTCTCTCTTCGGTTCTCAAAATGGTGGACACTCGGTGTGATTTGAACTCTTTAGCATAGCATTTTTCACACAAAGCTTTTAATTCAGGTCTCTTTTGTAAAGGAGTCCTCGAGGCTCAATGGGATTAACCTGTCTAAATAAAGGTTGAATGAATTTTAAAAAATCAGTAAACAAGTTCTCAGCTTCGTTTTGCTGAGAAAAACAACTTGTTAGACGAAGGCACGGGTTTCAACCGTGAATTTTGGAGCTTCGACAAGACGGAGGTTTGTTCCCCGAGGTCAGCCTGTTAGCTTAACTCGTAGCTTAGCTTCTCACCTTAGCTGCTTTTAACAATCCAAAAACGCAATTTTGGATCGTTAAAATAGAATTTAAAGAGAGAAGAGAAAGGGAGGGGTCAGTAAAGTGCATCGGAGTTGAGCCTTTTGTCATCCGGTGTTTTCAGTAGAAAGAAAGAGACACAAAGAAACGATAAAGCCAATAAATGAAAATGAGGTTGATAATTTTTATTTATCATGCGATTAATTAATTTATTGTTTATCGCGACAGGCCTTTCTATTCCTCTTTTTCAACAACCTGAGCCTTAAGACAAAGCAGATGTTCCCATGTCTGATCTGCTGCTAAAACAGCAGGACATAAATTGTCCACTTCATTTGAAGTCACCACTTGATGCCAACAACAAACAGCTGCTGCTCTCTCTCTCTTTTATTCATGATGTGCAAAATATACTTTTAAAAGAAACAGTAAATGTTACCAGGTCTTGTTAATTATGCAGCTTGACTGAACTGTAGAAGAACCCAAGCAGATACGTTTGTTACTAGTCCTCAGCACAGACCTAACAACACGCACAGCTTTTCTGTGGTCAGTGCACAACAATCTGACGTCACCGTATCTGTATGTTGCTGCAGCTGTTGTGCAACCAGACTGCAACAGGACAGGAGTGAGATCTTAGGCATACAAAGAACCTTCTCTTGGACAAACATTAATTTGTCTTGAAGTTTTTATAGATTTCTCTGTTGTTCTGCATTACACCAGATATACATTGATGATTTTTTCCAAAAATATGCACACAAGTCAACTCTAAATGTGTGTGCAGCACTTGCAAACGTGCCAAGTGAAACTCTAAGTATAGAGCCGGTAGTTACACCTAAACAATGCACTGGTCAGTGAGCAGTAGTTTTGAGAATAAGGCTTAAATAACAAGTTTGGCTTGTAAATACAACATTCAGACCTAGTCATGCATACTTGCTGCAAACAGTAGAGGGACACAGAGTGCAGCAGTGAGCTGTGGTGGTAACTTCATAGATAATTCAATCAATTCAATTCAAATATACTTTATTAATACCAAAGGGAAATTATTTGTGTTGTAACTCGTTATCCTCATTTCATTAAGAGACGTTATAGATACGGATGGCTGCAAACAGGAAGGATCTCTTGTAAAGATCCATCCCACAGCGGATCCTAAGAAACTGGCTGCAGATGCTGTCCGATCCGTCCACCCAGACTCGGCTGGTCTCTCGGTTCCCAGGGGCTGTAGGACCGCCCGAATGCTGGGACGAACTCCTCCCAGAGCGATGGCCACTCCTCCCAGCAGTCTGCCAAGCTCCTTGTTGCTGCGGACAGCCAACTGTAGGTGCCGAGGGACGATCCTGTCCTTCCACTGTCATGAGCCGTGTTTCCTGCTAGTTCCAGGATCTCAGTGGTCAGGCACTCGAGCACAGCTGGCAGGTAGATGAGAATGCATCCACAGAACATCCTTTTCAACTCATTTGAGATTTGGGGCTGTAGTTGAGATATTATTTGAGCTTTTGAGATGCAGTGTTTCCCCTACCATTATACAGGCGGGGTGCCCCACTCCGTCAACAGAACTGAGCCCCCCGCCTACCAAACTGAACTTGCCCCTCCAACCCCCACCCGGCACTGACACATCACTAAGCTAGCGGCTCAAAATACAGGCTCTCTAGCTCAAAAGCCAAAGGCAGCACTCACATTGCCTCGTCCCACAAGCTGAACACCCCCCACCCACGTTCAAAAACTGTTAGTACAAGCTGCGCTCAGACATGTCTCCATCCCCCCATCAGCAAAAATCAAGGATGAGATGAGCACCCCGCCATGGCAAGCTAACTAGGGGAAACACTGAGATGTTAGTCAGCTGCTTGGTTATAGAAAACTGTCTTGTTGCCATGGTTACGTATCATAACAAATGTCCAAAACTAAAAAAGTTTCAGTCAAAATCCTTCCAGCTGCACAGCATCCGATACCAGAGGAAACAATCATCCAAAAAAATGTGATTTGCATCCAGAAAAAGAGGAATTAAAGTTTCCAAAAGCAAAATCTCAGAATGAAATCACCCAAACAGCAGAACTAAAGGATTGTCAGATATTTACACAGATTGCCAAAATATTAGGAGAGAGAAAAAACCCATAAGAACATCAGATGAAAAACCATCATGCTTATTCATTTTGACTAAAACCAAAATATTTAAAAATGCAAAAAAAGGTGTAAATGCAGTAGCTAATGTAAGGGTTCGGCTACTCACAGAGTCTCTGTAGGCAGAGTTGAGAGAATGAAGCGCAGCATGAAACACCCTGAACTCCCTGGCTGCAGTCGCTCTGTTTACAGGCTCTACAGAGGAAAACACACATACGCTTTCAGAGTCTGGCTTTCTCTTAATGTACAGCTGAATCGTTTTCTGTATTTAAGAGAAACACGAGAACTCACAGACCTGGACTGTTCTCTGGCTCTGGCCACGTTTTTTTGAGAATATGTAAAGTGGATCCTGGCCGAATCCCACAGGCATCCAACGTAAGGTCATCCTTTAGCTTCCGGCCACAGTGAACCAACTCTGATGAAAGCAGACACAGACAGGACATTTAGGGGTAATTTACGCAGATACAGTGTTTACTATGATGATAGACAGCAGAACAACACACACGCCTCATTCACATTTTATTTCTGTTGCTGACAGACCTATTAGTTCAGGGTCTGGGACAGAATCTGGGAGCTGAGCTGCAACAAGCTGCTTCAAGGTGGCCACTCTGTATCCTCCAGGGGGGACATCTCCTGGCATCATCTCTGGGAAGTGGAAGGTGGACTTGGGCCGATCCACCAGCTTCAGAGAAAGGTGCCAGTCTGTCATTTCTTACTGTTACGCAAAAAGAGAAACATAATCTCAGCATTGTTCGACATATATTAGTAAAACAAAAGCCGAACTTCATGGGTCTTGATTAGCTCAAAGTACAAGGTTAAATTTGTGCGCCGGTACATGTTTGATGATAGCTTTTAACAACGTAAATATATCAGAAACAACCTAGAATAATACGCTACTAATAGATTTACACACGCTTACGGATGTTGACGCTTGTAAAACAGTTTACCCGGCTAGCTTCCTAGCGTTTGCTAAAAATAAACAAATACATACGCGTTTTCACTTCTACACGTGAAAATTTTACATGACGTAAGTTATTGGGATTCAGTGTTTATTCTTAAATAACATAAAAAACAGATTTCGTAAACTAAAGCCACTTTAACGGAGGGACTAATAGCCAAACAAACGCGCACCCACCGTATTTTTTGACAGGCAATTCACTTCCTGCTTGTGATCACGTGGCCTACGTTGCGTTTATGTCCTTCAGTTCAGCCACGGATTTTTAAAAAAAAGAACTGGTTACTTTTGTAGGATTTTCTAAGTTTTTCCAAATATATATTTTTTAATACATCCCGGTTCGTTTAAAAGTAAGTTGTCTACATTAACTTCCCCCATTTATTTGATCTAGGTTTTGGAAAGGGCTAAAGACTGTTTCTCATCTATCCTGCTATATAAATAAACTGAACTGAACCAAATTGCTTGAATCTATCATTTATTTCATTCAACCTTTTTTAGACAGGTAAATCCCATTGAGTCTCGAGGACTCATTTACAAGAGAGACCTGATTTAAAAAAAGAATTATGATAACAATGGACAACAGCGACAACAATAGACAGTTATAAAAAGGCATACAGATTTTTTTTTTAGTTTACAGTTTACAATCAGTTTACAAAAACCTTAATACAGTGCGTAGTATAGTGTCTTATCATGAACAGTTCAGCTCCCTGTAGAGACTGGGAAAAACCCAGATTTCCCGACGAAAGATGGACTTGCTATTCCCCTGGACCAAATTATATTTAGAGGCAATCATC